AAAGGACTATTGATACTTTTGAAACATCTTGAATTTCTCTGATTCCAAATGGTCCACAATATGACAATTCTCCATCTGTTTTTTGTATGTGCTACCACTCCCCTCATTGTTCCAGTTGTTTTTTTAGGAGTTAATATCTCAAAAAATCACTCAATTTAGAGAATTTATCTAGTAAAGTCATTCAACTTTCTTTTGTATCAAAAAAATCACTCAACTTAGATTTTTATATCAATAAAATCACTCAACTAAAATTATTATTAAAAAAATTAACATAACAAAATAAATTGTTTTTTATGCTATGTAATACGAACCCCACAAATAAAAAAGATTAACGAAAACTCATCAAAAAAAATAAACGAAATACTTAATTAATGAAAATTATATTATGGTATTACTATATATTCAAAATTTAAAAATGTATTACAATGGATGTTTTTCTCCCCAAAAAAAAGACCAGTAAAAATTGTCCTCACAATTCACAAATAATTGGCTTAATAACTACAATATTAAATTATTGCGGTCACTAGCGTATAAAAAAAATTAACGTCTTACAAAAATTTATTATTAGAATAACGTCCATTGTGATAAATTTTTAATTGTAAATACATAATAAAATTATAATATTATTGCACCGATTAAGTTTATTCATAAACTTTCTTTGAATGATTTTTCTTTAATTTTATTTATTTGTGGAATTTATATTTACATAGCATAAAAAATAATTTATTTTGCTATGTCAATTTTTTTAATGATAAATTTAATAAAGTGATTTTATTGATATAAAAAAAAGTTCAATGACTTTGTTAGATAAATTCTCAAAGTTGAGTCTGTTTTTTTAGGCATAGTCCATCTTATGCCTCTGAAACTAGTAAACAAATTTCATAGTTGGCTAACCACTTTACACTGTAAGAACATATGGTTAATTGTCTATGCCTTTTGCTCACAAAAAAAATGCATCTTGGACACATTTGTATGTCCCACTTCATGAGATTTTCTTGAGTTAGAACACCCTCTTTCACTATCAGCTAAGTGAAGACTGCCACTTTGTAGGGAATTTTCACTTTCCATATAAGCTTCCAAGGTAAGAAACTGATTTGAGATCTCATCTGATTCAAATTCTTATAAGCAGAGCTGACTATGAAAAACTTTTGTTATGGCATTTCCATCTGAGAGTATCACTATTAGGGGCGGATCCACGTGGTCTCCAGGGGTTCACCCGAATCCCCTTGACAAAAAATAACACTGTATATATAAGATAAATTTTCTGAATTTATATAGATATAATAATTTTGAATCCTTTTATGAATAAGAAGTAAGTTGTAGTGTAGTGGCAAATCTCATTTTAGATTGACCTTTACGTCCAAGGTCGAATACCTTCTCTTCATTTAGTTTCAGAACCAATCTTTCAAGTTTTTTTTTTAAAAAAAGAGTAGATTTAAACCCAAAAAAATCCAAACATGCTAAAAGTTCTCTGCTAACAAAACTAACTTTCTGTACTTATAAACTATATACTAGTACTTCCTTGAAATTGTATTTTATTGGCTTAAATGAAAATTTGAATCCGCCACTGATTTCCATTACCCTTGAGGAATCCATACTCTTGTAGAGTAGACTTCTGTTGTTGATTTAGTAGATAAATATCTAGAAAAAGTTGTTTGAGACTGTCACTTCCTAACGAATCATCTTTCTAGAATATGATCTTCCTTCCACCATTTACATTGAAGCTTGTTCTTTCATAGAAAACATGCCCCAAGTTTGTAAAGGGAATTTTTTATGGGCAAATCACTTAAATCCCACTAGTTTAGATCTTAATAACTAAAATTCCCAATAGTTTCAAATATTACTTTCTCTACCATATTTCATGATTAGGATACATGAGTCTAAATCCATGAGATACATGTATCTGTCAAATTTTAAAATTGAGATACAAAATTTATTTATTTAAATTAATTGGTTGTAACTTATTTCCTTAATTAGAGGAGTAATTGAGGATTTTCAAAATACATAGATAATTAATTTCATTTTATTATTCTTTGAAATAGTAAATTCATTAATATTATTAACATAAGATAAAAACATGTATATCTTGGTAATGTAATTTGATTAATTTCAAATTATTACTCTTAAAATAATAAATTCATTAATTTGATGTATCTATTATCAATATATGATGTATCCAACAAACTAAACATTTAGATACATGAGTGTCATACAAGTACATTAATTTCATGTATTTGTTATACGTATCTAGTATTAATTTTATGTATATATATATATATAAAGTATTAATTTCATGTATCTTTTATATGTATCTAGTATGAATTTGATGTACCAAGTATCAATTGCATATGTTATATCCAAAAACATGTATCTCGAATACATAGTAAACATATACATCTAATTATGTGTATCTAAATTTCATACTCCAAAAACATGTATCTCGAATATATAATAAGCATGTACATTTAATTATGTGTATCTAAATATGAAATGTAGTTGAAACACATGAATTTATGAACAAATCACGATTGTAGAGTATATGTCGTATCATTAATATCATTGTGTTGTTAAAAATCATGTATCCGAAATTTAATAGTGGATTCATATACATGTTCAGATACCCCATTACTAAAAATACAACTCAAATCTTAATTAAGATTACTACTTATTGGATACACATGTTTCAAGGGCTATTAATATTAGTACTACCACATCCATATCACAGTAACCAAAGAAAGTCTTAGAAGAACATCAGCAAACAAAAACTCTCTACAATATTCCCTTTGATCCTTTTGTGCTGTGGCATGACATAATCAAAACTACGATCCATTTCTTTCGGAGACAAACAATCAAGACCCACTATGAATTGAAAGTTTTCTCTGTAGCAGTTACTGTGATTGGAACTCGTGGTAAATGAACAATATAAAATAATATTTGGGTTTAGGAGAATTTGTGGTGATGATATCTTGAGAAGAAGAGAGTAGATTAACTATTGTTGAAATGAAATTGTAAGGTGAAATTCTTGAATAAAAAAGGAGGAGACATAATTGAGTGATAAACATGGGAGGGGAGAATTAAGAGATAGTGGTTGATTTGGAGTGAAAGAGTTATTTAAGCAAATAATTAATCAATAATAGTTTTAAGGGATGTGGGTATCTAATTGTATTTTTAAGTAATATATTAATATATGGTATAAAATACTAATAGTGGTAATATATATAATTATTTAAAAGTAAAGATAATATTAGTATATATAGTAGTGATGTATGTCTAATAAGGTAGTTTATCCATTTTTTATATATATTTAGAACAAGAGAAATGTTTTTTAAGTAATTAATAATGAATTTGATGATTTTATTTTAGCTTAAATTTAGATAAAATTTTAAATTAAATTATTAACATCTTCATATTAGTAAATAAAATTTTATATAACACCATCCAACATATTCTATTGCAAACAAATGGCCAACATTTTATTAACTTGAATCAATCCTTACCAATATAAATATATATTAGCAATAATATTACTAGTTAGTTATGGTCTCGTAGTTTGAACAAGTTTGAACAATGAGTGTGCTAAAAACAATAGGAGTTGCAAAAAGTATCAATATTACTCATTACTAACAAAGTGAGAATTTAAGTAGAAAAATAGAGAACTGTGGGAGATTCATTTCACTATTTTTCTCTATTAATGGATATACTTACATTTTTCTTTCTTTCTGTTAAAACAAAAGTCCTAAAAGTAATAGTCTTAAACTAATGTACAATATAGACTTTGTCTCAGGAAATTAACACTGTGTAATGTGGTTTTCAATTGAGAACATCAACTAATTTGTACAAAATGCAATATTAACACTGTGTAATGTGGTTTTTAATTGAGAACATCAATTAATTTGTACAAAATGCAATATTAATACTGCATATTAACGCAATTGAAGTGAAAAAAACGCAATTGAAGTGAAAAAACTTCTTTCAGTAAATTATTGAAGTGAAAAAATTGTTTTCAATAAATTTAGATGATGTCTTAGGTGTATATAAGTTATTTCCTTTGACTAATCTAAAAAATTGTCTTAATTTATATAGTAGAAATGTTTGCTAAACACATGAAACAAAATAAATATAAATAGGGAATAAACATTTCTAAGTGTCTCAATGATTGCGGTGAGTTTTTATAAGAGAGTAAATCATCACAAAAAATATTGAATTTATATGTTTGGATACTTTATATTTACAGTTTGCTGATGCATAAATCCTGACATTCAAATGGAGCAAACTTTTTTGAATTGAAGTCAAAATTGCTTGAAAGTTGGGGATGTCAATGGGGTGTGGCAGGGCGGATACGGGGTGAAGCGGATTTAAGGTTATGCGGATGGATTTAAGGTTGTGTGGGCGGATTGAAGTGGGATTTTTAAAATTAATGCGGAGCGAGATATATGTGAATTTAAACTTAATTTTAATTTTTTACATGTTATAAGAGTGATAGAGCATTATTTATTAAGATAATTTCTTTAAAGCTACTAAAATATTCAAGATAGTAAATGAAAATAGTTCAATAAAAAATAATTCAATTTCTTACATGTTTCCCATTGACCTCCAAAAAATAAAATTTTAAGTCACTATCCTATTAAATTAATACAACTTAATAAAAAAATAAATTTATTTTTATGAATTTTATTTTTACTATCAAGCTTAACTAGAAAAAGAAAATATTAAAATAATTATATAGGGCAGGTTCATGCGGAGCAAGGTGGGTTGAAAATGAAAAAAAAATTGTTATGTATGGCAGGCGGATTTAAAATTTTGCGTGTTAAGCTTCAATCCGCCCCACGCCGCCCCATTGCCATCCCGATTGGAAGTACAATTTTTTTTTACGCCATCAATATATTTTAACTTGTTTTAACAGAGGTGATAGAAGCAACAAAATAAATTTACTACAAAGACGATTTCACAACATACAAATGTCGAAAACTAAACAGGATCTCATCAAGGCTGTTGGAACTGAGAAATTGTTAAAACCACAAAAAGCAAAATTGATGACATTCCTTTCGAGCCAAGGGTCGGAAACAACCTCTTTACCACTACACACACCAAAGGTAAGGGGTAAGGTCTACGTGCATCCCACCCTCTCTAAACCCCACTTGTGGAGGTGTTGTTGAAGGAGAGGATCTCTCACCAATATAAATGATACTAATAATAACTATGGCAAGTGAAACACATTTAGTCTTGCACGGCATACAAGTGAGGTGCCAGCTCAATGAGCCACAAGTAATCGATTCTAGAGACATTACGGACATAACTATGGTTAGTATGAACCAGTTCATTGAAAACTATACACTCTGGCTTGGCTCGGAACAGGACAGAAGACGGGTGTATTTGCACAATCAAACCACTTAACGTCACCCTGCCCAGTAGATAGTTAAAATGAATGTCAGATACGAGAACGAATAGATGATATGTCATAGAAATCCAAACAGATAACAACTAATTGATGCTGGACTAATAAAACCACTAATCTTAACCTGTATGCACCATCAGGCTGCTTCATAGCTGCTTTAAGAAAAAACGAGGCAGCAAGGCATCTGCGGAGGAGAAGCGTATCATCTTCACAAGAAGTGACGCAAAGACCCATTTGTTCAACATTCCTCACAATTTGACTGCAACATAGGTAGAAAGCTTAAGATTTTTCACACACTGAAGGACCCAGACAAATGAGAAGAAGCGGCAAATACATTCTATAACAGTGAAATATGATGAGCATAAGCATAAGAATGTAACACATGAAAAAAGAAGAGTTAATGGTCAAAAACTGAACGGTAAGAAAAGGGAACAACTCATAGTTCAGGTGTATGTTTTGATAAATAGTTGGTGATAGTTCAATAGTAAAAGTGAACACCTTATAGTTCAGGTAAGGAAACTCACAAAAACGAATGTGTGTGTTTTATCATCTTCTCTAAAGAGAACTGTGGAAGTGGAAATGAGAAAAGGTCCAAAATAGTCCCTCATCTTTGGGTTAAGACTCAAAGACATCCTTGAGTTTTCACATGGAGCACTAATAGTCTCTCATGTTTGCAATATTGGTGCACTTTTGGTCCTCCCCTAAACTTTTGCATACTTTTTAACATTAATTTTATATAAGGAATGCCCAATCGTCTTTTTATATATTTAGTAGAAATAATAATTCTATGTGAGAGGAGGTGAGAAGAAGAACACCTTGTTCTGTTCAGACGAAATATTACTGCAACTAAGCTAAGAACATTTTAACATATGACGTTGTAAGAAAAGAAAAAATTGTACTATTGCACGTGAAATCGTCGTGATGAACCTCTCAACTTTACCTGCAATACGATTTCTACTAAACAAAATAAGGTGTTTTTCTTCTTACATTCTCCCACGTCGAGTTATTATTTCTACTAAATATGTAAAATGACGATTGAACATTCCATACATAAATTATGGATAAAATCAATGTTAAAAAATAGGCAAAATTTTGGAGAAGGCCCAAAAGTGCACCAATATTGCGAACATGAGGGACTATTAATGCTCCATATGAAAACTCAAGGATGATTTTGAGTCTTAATGCAAAGATGAGGGACTATTTTGGGCCTTTTCTCGAGGTGGAAATAATCATAAAGCAGAGCAGATCTTCAATAATTTTTCCTTGAAGTTGAAGTACATAATGCCTACCTGTGGATATCACGAGCATGTTTTAGAGAGCGACTGTTAATATAATTATCCTTGCACCATTTTCTAAGATTCTTTTCAGCTTTTTCTTCACTGTGTACCATCTTGTTCTTTTGAAAGAACTCATCAGCAGCGCGGTATACATTAAGCAATGTCAGATGATCCCCCTCTGGACTTGCAAAGCTTTTCAATGAGTTTCGTGACTGGCAAACACAGGTAAAATTATTCAGACTGTTTTCTAACTATATTAGATGCCAAAATTAGTATAACACATCAACAAAGTCAAGGTGACTGCTAAGTTGAAAGAAAACACAGGAAAAAAGAAAAGCCAATAACACGGGACGACAACAGTTGCTAAAACTGCATGCAAAATTCTTCTACAGTCCATTCACCATTTCACAGCACCCAATTAACTTGAACTTAACAGACAGATTTTGAAATTTAAAGAAAAACGAAACTTGAACAGTTGAAATGACATGAATAATTTTTTATCTACTCCAATGGTTAGATATTCAAAATATTGAAGGTAAATTTTGTAGATTCATTGCCGAAATCAACTTTATAAGAGTTAAACCTTCAAAGGGAAATGTCTCGCACGAATTCAAAAAAGGGTCGAGCTTTAAGCTCTACACCCTATTTATCAACTAGACAGACTTATTGAAAGCCTTTAACTGACAAAATCTATATTTGAGAATGAAAAAAAGGAGAGACTGGTAGAGCTCCTCTTTGTCAGCGGCATTCTCCCTTCTATCTATCAACCATTTCATTATGGAACTTTCTCCCCGAGCTGCAGAACTAATGTTGGAGCATGAATCTGATCTATATCTCTTTAAATAAGTAATGCACCTCCTAATCTCATCCCAGACAATATTATAATGCATGACTTTCAAGGGCCAGGAAACTGACGGGCATAGAAGATCTAACCAAGACAGCTTACTTATCACCAGACAAACTGCAAAGCTTTTAAATCCAGGCCTGTCTAGTGGTTCGCCAAAGATCTCCTAACTTTCTCTGTAATGATTATCTATAAGCTTTTTCATCATGGTGGGATGGACGATAGTAGGATATTGTGGAATATTAGTCTTAGAAGCCTTCTCATGATCGGTAGATAGAGAGCTGGAGGAATTTATTACCTAATTTATCATGACAATATTGACTAAGGAAGCAGGGTAATTGCTTGCGGAGGGACAACAATACAAAAGTTTGTTATACTACATAAGACTGCTTAAGAGGGAGAACAAGGCAATTCTCACCAGAGCAACGCGGCTAAAGTTAACTTCCAGCAAAAGTATCTTTTTTTTAATAGGGATGACAAAGGCGGATGGCGTCCAGTAAAAGTATGTTTTTTAAATTAAAAATGGAAGGTTCAGCATATGATGCTATCTCCACAGCTGGATGCATCAGATAAAACAATTTGACACTCGTTGGACTTATAGAAAGAAAGAAATTTGCTACAATCCTATGAACATGTTATCTTTTAACTATATCTTGAGCACACAAGATATTCCAGCGATGATTGGATGACCTTTGTAGATAGGAACTCCTTGAGCTGTTGTTTTAATGGAGACCTCTTGCACACAAGTTCGCAAAAAAAATTATACTTACCTACTAACAAGCAAATCTTTTTCATCAAATAGAAATTTTAAGGAAACAACACAGACAGAAAGGAAAAATTGGGGGGGGGGGGGGGAGGTAACAACTAGCAGCGCAAAGGACTACCTCTTCCAACTTTTCACGTGGTGCATAGAAAATAGATTCCACTGAAAGCATTGCAACACAGATCAACATTTCTTTCAAGCAGCCAAATTGGCTAGCAACAATGAGAGCCTTAGAATAGACTGGATCAAGGGGTAGCCTGGCCATTTGACGTCCAACATCCGAAAGTTTATTATCTTCTGTTACAGCACCCAACAAGTAAAGAGACCACAATGAGTTGACTACAGCAGTCCTGTTAAAGAGAATCGAGGAAGGAATTATAGTCAAGGATGAAAACAATAATTGCACGACAATATCCAAATTCTGAAAATGACTGCATCATCAGTAATGTGATAACGCATGTAGGAGGTGCAACGTTCTGCTCCATAAAGTAAAGGGCAGCACAAACGTTACGCTGCTGTTGAGTATATTACTAGTTTTTTCTCTTCTTATGAACAGTTGGATCACTTAGTGGAGGGATATTTCATAAGATAGCTCTACAAGAAGAAGCAAGGATTTGCCAACAAATAAGTAGATTTCATAGGTCTGATGATGATTCGGTTTCACAAGGAAAATGCAGGTTTCCAGTTATACAGATTAAGTAAATATAGGATGGATGCTCTCCCTTGTGCTTCATTAATTTAACAAAACATGAAATGGATTTTATACATAAAATATGGCAAAATTAAGTAAAACAGGTGCAGTGAAATGATACAGTACCACCATGCTAGAGATAGATGCCAATTAATGGTCAAACACGTGCGACACAAACTTGAGTCATGCAAATAGGACAAAATATTGGGGGATTAAGAATTCAAAGACAAGGCATCATATATGCTGATAGCGAAATATATTTGCAAAATGCACTGAAAGACTTGTCTCTCTCATTTGGGTAATCACCTGTCTGGTTTTTCAATGAAGTCAAAGTTGATGACATCATCAATGCCTAGAGCCTTGAGCTGCAATACAACATTCGAGAGGTCACATCTCTTAATCTCGGGTAATGTAGAATCTGTAAGTTTCTCAAAGAAACTTTCTTGATACAAACGATAGCATTTCCCAGGTCCATCACGTCCTGCACGTCCACTATAAAAATTCAAGAAATTAGCCCTTGATCTGATATTTAACATATAATATAACCAAAATAGAGTAAATGTCCGTTATCCATTTCCCTCCTGTATATATAAATCCTACTGCATTGGTTCAACTTCTCGTTCACCATCCTCCCATGGATTTTACTTCAGAGGCCGCGCCCAGGACTTTTTAGGTTTAACCTTGTCTCTTTTTTTATTGCACGCAACTAACTATCATACCAGTACCTCCTACTTCCCACCAATACAAGTACCGGATAACTCTGCCCGCCAAATATTAGGTAGATGGAATGAATACACTACTCTTATTTATTGCAATTTTCAAATTTTAAGCATCTATCTGTTACCAGAAAAAGAATCCTCCTCTACAATTCCTCTGCTTCGAAAAGATATTATGCTTACAATTACAGTCCTCCTATTTCCTATGTTGATCTCATCAATATTATGTTGAACCTTTGAAGTATATTTGTACCTAAGTGGCAGATACAGATCCAAGATAAAACAAGAACTTCAAAGCATAAGTACATCCCAGTACATATCCTTAGCCTATCCCACATGTCAAATATGATTATGACAAGCATGTGAGGCCTTATGGTATATGCACTTCCTTGAACAATGCAAAGTAAGAAGGAAATTATGGTTCAAACCACCATAATTTGTAAAAGCTGGACAAAAGATGCTTCTGAATAAAGTCAGTAGAGGAAAGGAGTTGATTTAGTCAATGTGTATTGAGACTTAAATGCATCTGGAAGCACCCTACCTCCTCTGCAGAGCTTGAGCTTTAGATGTTGTGACAATGATCAATGAATCAACTCCCATCTTAGGATCATATGTTCGGGCTTTCACCAGTCCAGGATCCACAACGTACCTGATTCCAGGTATTGTCACCGATGTCTCAGCAATATTTGTTGCTAGTATCACCTAAATATGAAATGAAAGAATTTTTAGTGGGCATAACTTGCCAACTCAGAGCAATTACCAAGTATTATGCCTTGAAAACTTCATGTCAAGCATACCAGTGAAACTAGATAAAGAACTTGTTAGCATTATAATAAACATAGCCAAATAATGAAAATGCACATTCACAACGCTAAGCCCATATTGTAACAAATACAAGGCTACAAGCCAGCATATAACCAAACTTTATTTCCCTTGAGGAGATAACCAAATGAATGCTTCTTTAAGTCAGGTATCAATTTCATATATTTTTATTTTGTAGGTGGAAGTTTATAAAATTAGTACACAAAGGAATGCACCGGTATAAGCTCAACCAAAGAAAGAAAACATTGAAAATACTAACAACTAACCACCCATACGCACCTACCCTGGAGAAAAAAAAATTGACCCTTACGTTTATCCCCAACTGACATACAAGTGCAAGGATCCGGCACCTCAGAAGGGTACTTGCAGTTGTTGTGTATTTGGAGAATCCACACGAAATACCCACACACCAAAGTGACACCCATTCGACAAAACCGTACAAGCCAAACCATGGCATCTACGTGCAACGCAGATGTTTCTAGGACAATGATACTCATATCATATGTACTACGTTATGCAAAAGTAATGGAAGGAATTCATAAAACAACTGGCGGAATATCAATTAAAGCTATAAAGTTTCATGAAGTGGTAGGAATGGAACTTGCTTTCCTTCATGGAATGGAGTGAATGAACCTAGGTTTCAAGAATCATTTCAATTCAGTAGTCACAATATTTTGGCAAGTGGCTTATTCCTTTGAAGAACACTGCAACTCAGCTTTGTTTTTCCAGACAGATGATGCAAGATGATTTCAAAGTTTAGAGTAACTTTTTTTTCCAACAGAGGATATCACACACAATTATTATATTATCCTATAAACAATTCAATGGAGTTCATGTAAGTCGTGTTTTACACACAGATCTAAATGCAACCCCAGATATAGACAAAAGGTAAGTACATCCATCTCAAAAGTTCAAAAAATAAGCTATCCAAAGAAACAAATCAACCTTACGATGTCCAGCTGGTGAAGGCATGAAAACCCTCATTTGCTTCTCAGAGGGAAGTGATGAGAATATGGGAAAAGTTAAGAGCTTTCTACTGCATTCGGGTAATTGTCGGAGACGTTCATGGATAAGCCTTTCAACGGATTCAATCTCCTCTTGACCAGTAAGGAATACAAGCACATCACCAGGTCCCTCCTCTAGATGTATCTAGCAAAACAAGTTGGGAGGAATGAACAGAAAATAAGACATTCAGCAACATCACAAACTATAAACTTGACTAATTGAATCCTCAATGCTACGTGAAACATTAAACTTAGCTATGTAAAAGGCCAATATAGTAACCAATCCAGCTAGGAGCTGATAAATAAGATACTATGAGAAAGCAACAACAAAGGCACAAAGCTGCTGTGCCTTTGTGAAAATTTAATGACACTGTCGATCAGTTCAAACTCTTATTTGTGAAGCAACAAGATAAATGTAAGAACCTGAAATATAGTAATCAAAGCAGCATCTATGCAATCTGTCTCAGGCTTATGGGTGTAGAATATATCGACAGGAAACTGCCGTCCCTGAACATGAACAGCCTTTGCACCACCAAAGTACTCTGAGAAAACTCGTGCATCCAGACTGGCTGACATGATGATCAATTTCAATGGGTTGTACTTTTTCACTTGACATGACTTCAAAATACCGTCATTCTGATTGTCAATCCTTTCCTCCAGGGCATGCCCATTATTAGAATTATTATGATCAGTATTTACCACGCCGTTGATAGATTTTGACCTTGCTTTCTGTACATTCTTTAACAATCCAAGCAATACATCAGTGTGGATAGTCCGCTCGTGCGCCTCATCAACAATAATAACAGAATACTTGGAGAGGTATGGATCCAATAATGCTTCCCTGTAGTAGTGATTAGTGGAATGTCATTCACCATTTGTAAATTGATTTTTCCAGATACAGCTTTAGATAATCATAAATAGCTCTATCATGTGATGTCAAATGTGAAGTAAACTCTCCATGGCACATGAACAATCTCTCCACACATGCCCGTATATGCAACAATTAAGTCCATAGTCATGGCTATATTACTCTTTTTTTCTTTCAGAAAAGTGAGAATCATACATGTAATGCATCAAACCTTTTTTTGCCTTATTACCTCAGAAGCAAACCATCTGTCATATATTTGATCTTTGTTTGGCCAGAAGTTACATCTTCAAACCTAATAGCGTATCCAACCTTTTGACCCAATGGAATGCCACACTCCTCAGCAACACGTTTAGCAACAGTGATAGCAGCCACACGTCTAGGTTGAGTTATCCCAATGATACCACCATCACGGCAAAATCCCCATTTAAAAAGATACTGAGGTAGTTCTGCAAAGATATAGGCCACACTAGAATAAAGCTGAGGAATGTCAAGATAGCAGCTAAACCATGCAACACATACCTATTTGTATCTGATGAATAATACAAAAGATGCATTTTTTAATTTTTTTAGACTATTCTACTGTATTAGTGTATTTATTCCTATAGATTGAATAACAAATTTTGTTACTTGGAAGTTTCGAGAGAGATAGATTAAGGAAAATTAGCAAAAGAGAGTATCCAAGAATAATCTTGAAATTCGTAGGACAATATATATAAGTTCATTATATCAGGATGAATAATTTGGACACACTCAAAATATGGAACCGACAAAACAGAGTGAGCTGTCAGGCGACAATTCAGCCAATACTTTCAGGTGCACAACTCAAGCAGTTATGACCAATCACAAACGTTCACTAACCACCACAGGAGTTCCTCAGTTTATGGCTAACCCAAGCTAGTGAGGGTTACTTGGATTTAACTGAAATTTTCATATGGTCTCCTGTCCTAATTCATCATCCTTCCTGCTGTCAATCCTCGCATATTTCTCATCCTCAAACACACTCATCAGCCAAAATGTGAGAAATGTCCTAATTCGTCCAAAAAGAGTCGAAAACTAAAAGAATAAGCAAACATGAAAAACAATAAATTGTTGGGTTCAACCTCGGTTTAGGAAGTATAAGTTTATAGTGCGCAGATGACTTTCTTAACAAAACTCCAGATCGACTTTGCTTCGCCGAGAGAGCTATACCTCATTTTAACAGCCACCCCAACCCCTCACTACAAAAGAAAAAAGACTCCTAAGAAATTATTCAGTGTTGTGATTACTAAATCCACATGTACATCATCCTTTACATTTTCACCAAATAATCAACGAACCATATGTCCGATCTTCAAAATTTCACCAGTTCTATAATGTGCGACTTGCACAAACAGACAGAAAGACACCTTTATACACCTCAGGAAAGACTGATAAGCCACACACAACACAACACATAAACAAACAGATAAAGAAGAAAGATGCAATATGCATGACTCTTTTATCCTTTTTACTAACTGAGGACGTGGAAGGCCTTAGAACTGGCACTATGCTACATCATAAATGACCACCATCATTGAAGTATTATCTAAAGTACTGCAATGTAAATGAATCTGCTTTAGATACATGTCAGTCATTCTAAGAGGACGTGTAGCAAAAAGTACTTACGAGTTGTCTTTCCACTTCCAGTTTCTCCAACAATTATCAGTGTGTCATTGTTTCGCACCTCCTCCACTAGTCTCCTTTCAACTAGAGTTAATCAAATAACATGTGTAAGATGAAAATTTACAGAATACAGTGAACCAAAAAAACAGAACAGACAGTATGGCGTTAGAATGAAAAATCAATGCAAGCACCGTCTTCTCAAGAAATTATACGCAGCATTCATGCGTATTTTTTACAGAGCACCACAGCACCCTAGAATACAACATAAACTATGTCTCAGTTCCAAACGAATTGAGGATATATGATGATTCATCATGAATTAGCAAGTTTATGCTAGCTGTCAGCCTACCGTAACCCTCCTCCTTTTTCCGGGGTTAAGGTCCGCAATGTAAAGAAGCTCACACATGCGGAGAAACCAATCAGTTATAACCATCAGAAAAAATAAATTTCCCACAGGCCATACACTACTTAAATTAAAAATGCCAACTCCCAGCCTAGAACTTATTATAAAACAATCAGTAAATTGAAAAACAACTCACACTGAAATACTCAGAACAGGATTGAAAAAAAAAAAAAGAGCACACATTAGACTAAAGATTTCAAATTGAATAACTAAAACAATACCTGCAGCAATTGGTAAATTTTTTCTCTGCTGCTCAATCTTTTGCTTCCTGCCAAAAAAGAAAATCAAACCTTTGAACAAAAAGGCATGCATCTACATAGTTATATACCCACAAAAGAAAGCATCTTTTAGCTTCTAGGATTGAACCAAGAAGGTATAAAACTAAAACTAAACAAGGGTATGCTAAAAAGTAACAATCTGGCAAAAAAGATCAAACCTTTGAACATAAACGTATACATACATATACATAGTTAAATACCCACAAAAGGAACCCTTTAGCTTATTGGATTGAACCAACAAGAGATAAAAGTAAATTAAACAAATGGGGTATGCTAAAAGTTCTTTTAAAAAAAATACCTGGAAACAAAGTCCCCTTTTGTTTGATTTTGATGAGTGTTTCTTGAAAAATTGTTAGCAGCCATTGAAGGCATATCTCAAGATTAGTTTCAACACTTGTTAATTTCAAGTTTTGCAAACAAAAGGTGGAAACTTTGTTCACTATTATGAACAACTACTCGATGAAGAGTTGAATCCATAAGGAGCCGCAAGCCTAATGTATATTTTCACTACTCCACACCCACCTCACCCCACCCTACCCCGCGTCTGGTTTCAACAAATGGCATATTTTTTATTGATAATAAATCAAAATATATTTATTTACACAAATAAAAATAGCAGAGAATAATAACTATACAAATATTTTTTGAGGTAGGAAATACAAAATAATTAATTTAATTAAGGTTAAATTTTTAAAGATTGTATTTTTTTAGATTTTAAATTATTTTAAACTGTAATTAATGTCATACTCCATTAACGTCAATCAAAACTTCTTTATTTATATAGATAATAGAGAATGCCCCTGCCCCCAACGTTTATATTATTTGACCCTTATTCTAAAAATAGTTATGATTTAATTGTCCAATTAATGAAATCAAAAAGAATTTTCTAATATTTTTTTTATTTCTATATACCTGTAATATTAAACAACGATTAAAGTAGTAGTCAAATTTAAAGTTTCAATGCATTGTTAATAAAGTTAGTTTAGTAAAATACACCTCTAATTAGATTTTTTTAAGGGGTGTCATATCAAGAACGGTCAAGTAATATGAAAAGAATGGAGTAAGAAAGTGGAGAAAGACAAAAATATACACATACATAGATATACAGACGCTTGATGCATATTATATTGAAATAACGATCATCAAAATATTATTTTACTAAGGAAAAATGGTCATAAATGTCCTCAAACTATGTGAAATGAACAAAAATGTCTTCAGTTTGTAGTTTGGTCCAAAAACGCCCTAGCCATCGATACTTTGGTCCAAAAATGTCCTTACTGTTATTTAATGGATAAAAAATGCTCATTTTTCAAATAAATATATTATTCATTTTTCTTTTTAACACGTTATTGTTTTAATAATATATTTTTAAATTAGCAAATATTTATCTTACTTCAATTCAGAAAAAAATAAAAAATAAAATATTTCGTATTTTATTAGTATTATTTTTATCGATATACAAATAAAAATTAACGATGGATATACTATGATCTTATATATATATATATATATATGATAATATCCATTGAAAGGGTACATGAAGTTATAAAATGAGATTAGGAAGAAAAAAAAATTATTTCCTACATTTTTATTTGTTAAAGTGATTTCAAAAGAAGGAAAACAAGAATAGGGTTCTTTAGTAATATTTTAATTAGGAATAAGATGTGTTTAAAAAAAACATATTTATTCGAAAAGGGGCATTTTTGACCCATTTAGTAATTATAGGGACATTTTTGGACCAAAGCAAGGGGATTTTTTAATCAAAGTATTGGCGACAAGGGCATTTTTTAGTCAAACTATAGATGGGAACATTTTTGTTCATTTCACATAGTTTAAAGGCATTTTTGACCCTTTTCCCTTTTCCCTTTTCCCTTCTACTTATAATGTTAATGAACTTAAAGAAAAAATTATAAATACCTAGGTTAGAAAATAAATCACGTATAATATAATGATGCATTATATGTATGTGGTATAACCATGATAAAATAGACGATGCATAGGATAAAGGGGGAGTTTGATGATTGTTCAAAATTGAGGGGGGAGTTTGATTTTTAAAGCAAAGTCAAGGGGTGAAAATGATTTTCATCCTTTAAAAAAATAAAATTATGTGTTAGATTAAGTCACTCCATCATAAAATACTTTTTATTTTTTAAAATTATTTGATATATATATATATACTAGATAATAGCACGGGCCCAATAATATAAATGGTATGTTTTGGGGCTAATAACGGAGTTTTTGAAGCTATTATTGCGTGGATAAAGAAATAAGTTTTTTTATCACAAACTTGTACTTTCTTTGACACTATTTAAGGCATAATAAGACTACCCACATACAACATTTTTGAAATATTTTATGTTGTCAATTATCATGATTTATAGTATTTTTATGATAGATTCACTTCAAGAATCAATGGAATTTTTTGTATTTTTTTGAAAACATATTTTATGTTGTCAATTATCATGATTTATAGTATTTTTACGCAATTTTTAAAAATAAAAAACACAAAAAAAATAAGACAAATAAATTAAAATGGACCTAATATATGTTATTTTTGTTGTCTCAATTTATGTGACACAAATAAAATTTGGAGAGTCATCCAAATTTTCATATATTTTTTTTAAAATGTTTTAAGTTATTAATTATTGTGATTTATAATATTTTTATGTAACTTTCAAATAACCTACATTACTGGTCACTTTGTCCTAATTTATGTGATATGGATAAAATTACAAAATTAACCCTTTTAAAATGTCTTTTATATATTTTAAGTTGTTAATTATTATTATTTATAATACTTTTTTGATAATTTTAAAATGATATGTGTTATATTTTCTGTCCCAATATATGTGAGCCTGGTAGAATTCTGAGAGTGAAGCTATTTTATTATATAGCTTTTAAATATTTTAATTTGGTAATTATTGTAATTTTTATGCTTGTTAAGTCATTTGTAAATGATATATGTTTCTTCCTTTGTCCCATTTTATATAGTATAAATAAAATTCCCAAAACCAACTCAATTTTTAATATATATTTTTAAATATTTTAAATTATTAATTATTGCGATTTATAATATTAAAAATAAATAAATAGAAAATGTACAAAACTTGTATCAGCCTAAGAAATGACCACGATAATTCAAAGCCTATAGAAAGCAATAAGGTTGTACGTAATTTTAAATACTTAATATATATTACTCTGTTTGTCTCAATGTATGTAGCATAGATAAAATTTTAAGAGTCAATCAAATGTCGTTAATTGTTAAGATTCACAATACATTTTACGTAGTTTTCAATAATTTCACATTAAATAATACATATTACTACTTTTGTCTCATTTTATGTGACATTGATAGATTAATTTTAAGAATCAGTCAATTTCTTTTTTTGTGTTTTTTTAATAAATATTTTAAGTTGTCAATTATCACGATTTATTATATTTTATACATAATTTGTAACGATAGATTAATTTCAAGAATCAATAGAATTTTTCTATATGTATTTATTTTTGAAATATTTTATGTTGTCAATTATCATGATTTATAGTATTTTTACGATAGATTCACTTGAAGAATCAGTGGAATTTTTTGTATTTTTTTCAAAACATATTTTATGTTGTCAATTATCATGATTTATAGTATTTATACGCAATTTTTAAATATATAAAACACAAAAAAAAAAGATAAATAAATTAAAATGGACCCAATATATGTTATTTTTGTTGTCTCAATTTATGTAACACAAATAAAATTTGGAGAGTCATCCAAATTTTCATATTTTAAAAAAAAATGTTTTAACTTATTAATTATTGTGATTAATGGTGTTAAATTGTCCAATAATATAATTTTTAAAGGTACAATCATAAAAGAAGAATGTACAACACTATCTAAGCACATGTAACACTTGTCATGTGCTAAGTAGTAGATATTCCCACTTATTATATATATAGTAATAGAAAAATATATATAGAAATGACATATTTATTATTTAACTAAATAATAAATATGTAACTAAAAATCTTGTTAGCTTTTGGTTGAAAGCTAACAAGATAGTTATAATAATAGTTGCATTGTGGCTTATTATATATATATATATATATATATATATATATATATATATATATATATATATATATATATATATATTCTCTTCTTATTTTATATTCTTTTATAAATATACTTTACTACTTATATAGAAAGGAGAGTTGAATTCCTTTCTTAACTAAAGCTAGGGGTATTTTTAGTTTTTCATTTATATGTTGCATATCGTTAATCGTATGATCATGTTTTTAGATGGTACTTTATAAAAAATTCCCACAAATATCAGTCTTCCTTAAAAAGCATCAAATTTGTCCTCAATCTTAACCACCTATTGCAAAGGCATTTTAGGTTATTCAATTTTAATTTTTGGTTTACATATTTGTACCCTTTGCATAAATATAAATTAGGTTGATTTAGTTCTAAAACTAACTTTTTTATCTGAGTATTTTTCAAACTTTTCCATAGTTGCCCTAACTTTTGTTTTTCCAAAAGAGATGATATCCTAACTTTTTTTCTTCCCTTCTTTTTACATTCACCCTCTCTCCTGCAATTACTCGGTTTAAAAGAGGAATATGAGATTGAATTATTTTTCAGCTTAATTTTGGCTCAGTTGAGCCCATTTTGTACAGACTTCTTTTGTTTTGAATAAAAAGGCCTCTGAATCTATAATTGTTTTAAAAAAAATTCAGTGTGTTGAAACTAGGGTTGCTTGGGGCAGGTTTCCTGTCACTACCTCTTGGGTGATAAAATGAAAGACAAAGTGGACAAGTTGTGTATAACTCAAGATTGGGATGAGATTACGGAAGAGTAGAAGTCTCGTGGATCCTGGATCTCCCTTGAACTGATTGATAAGTTAAACCCGCTTTGAAAGTTAAGAAAAAGAGTTGGGTTAAGTTTTAGGATATTTTTAGATTTAGCTTATCAATCTCTTCAATCACTTCAAGGAAAATCCATGAGCCACGAGGCCTCCACTCTTCTGTAACCTCATCTCAATCTTTGATTTATACGCAACTTGTCTACTTTCGCCTTTGTTTCATCGCTTAATTCTATTAGGTTTAGATTGCGATTCTGTAATGACCCGGTGGGTCATTTTTGGAGATTTTCATAAATTTATAGTTTTACCCCTCCCGATGTTGATCCTGAGTCATTTCTGATTAAGTTTTGGAAGTTGGTTTAGAGATTTGAGTAAAAAGTTGTGAATTTTGTAAGTTTTGAGTTTGAAAGTCTAAAGTTCCTTAAAATGATTTTTGATGTCTTTTAAAGTTTTGAGTGTCAGAATGGAATTCTGTCGATTCCATCAGTCCCAAAATATGAAAATTGGTCTAAGTAAATTGTTGATTTCATTTTTTGGAGTCTATTTGAGGATTTGAGGTCCTAAGTTGGAAATTGATGAAATTTTAGCCTTTGAATTGACTCTAGTCAATATTTGAGTTTCAGATGCTCGGATAGCA